TTAAGCAATTCTCCTGCCTCAGCTTCCTGAGTAGCTGGGACTACAGGCATGCACCACCATGCCCAGCTAATTTTATGTTTTTAGTAGAAACAAGGTTTCACTATGTTGGCCAGGCTGGTCTCAAACTCCTGGCCTCAAGTGGTTTATTTGATAACTTAGTTGAATATGTTTTCCTCAGGCCCTCCAAGATGTGCCCTTAACTGTTTTCTCTGGCCTCATTCTCTACATGTGCCCTATCCATAGTCTTAAATCCAATTTTTTTTTTTTTTTTTTTTTTTTTTGGACAGAGTTTCGCTTTTTTTCCAGGCGCCCGGCTGGAGTGCAGTGGCAGGATCTCAGTTCACTGCAACCTCTGCCTCCTGGGTTCAAGCAGTTCTCCTGCCTCAGCCTCCCAAGTAACTGAGACTATAGGGGTGCGCCACCATGCCCAGCTAATTTTTTTTGTATTTCTGCAGAGACAGGGTTTCACTATGTTGGCCAGGATGGTCTTGATCTCTTGACCTCATGATCTGCCCACCTCGGCCTCCCAAAGTGCTAGGATTACAGGCGTAGGCCACCATGCCTGGCCTAAATCCAATTTAAAAAATAATAATTTCACGTTTCCTGACATACTCTAGGCCTTCCCACTCTCATCTCTATGTGTTGAAACTGTATCCTTCCCTTACTTTAATGCCTATTTCAAACATTATTTTCTGCTTTATGCCCTTTCAAATATCTCTCATGGGTTGTGATTTTTCCTTTCTTTAAACCCTCATAGTACTTTTACTTTTTTTTTAATTCATTTATTGTACTTCAAGTTCTGGGTACATGTGCAAAAAGTGCAGGTTTGTTACATAGGTACATGTGCCATGGTGGTTTGCTGCATCCATCAACCCATCATCTACATTAGGTATTTCTCCTAATGTTATCCCTCACCTAGCCCCCAACCCCCAACGGGCCCTGGTGTGGGATGTTCCCCTCCATGTGTCCATGTATTCTCATTGTTCAACTCCCACTTATAAGTAAAAACATTTGGTGTTTGGTTTTCTGTTCTTACGCCAGTTTGCTGAGAATGATGGTTCCAGCTTCATCTATGTCCCTACAAAGGACATGAACTCATCCTTTTTTATGGCTGCATAGTATTCCATGGTGTATATGTGCCACATTTTCTTTATCCAGTCTATCATTGATGGGCATTTGGGTTGGTTCCAAGTATCTGCTATTGTGAACAGTGCAGCAATAAACACACGTGTGCATGTGTCTTTATAATAGAATGATTTATAATCCTTTGGATATATACCCATTAATGGGATTGCTGGGTCAAATGGTATTTCCAGTTCTAGATCCTGGAGGAATTGCCACACTGTCTTCCACAATGGTTGAACTAATTTACACTCCCACTAACAGTGTAAAAGCATTCCTATTTCTCCACATCCTCTCCAGCATCTGTTGTCTACAGATTTTTTAATGATTATCATTCTAAGCGGCATGAGATGGTATCTCAATGTGGTTTTAATTTGCATTTCTCTAATGACCAGTGATGATGAGCATTTTTTCCTGTTTGTTGGTTGCATAAATGTCTTCTTTTGAGAAGTGTCTGTTCGTATTCTTCACCCACTTTTTGATGCCGTTGTTTTTTCTTTTTCTCATAAATTTCTCTAAGTGCCTTGTATATTCTGGTTATTAGCCCTTTGTCAGATGAGTAGATTGCAAAAATTTTTTCCCATTCTGTTGGTTGCTGGTTCACTCTGATGATAGTTTGTTTTGCTGTGCAGAAGCTCTTAAGTTTATGTAGATCCTGTTTGCCAATTTTGGCTTTTGTTGCCATTGTTTTTGCTGGTTTAGTCATGAAATCCTTGCCCATGCCTATGTCCTGAATGGTATTGCCTAGGTTTTCTTCTACGTTTTTTGTGGTGTTAGGTCTCATGTTTAAATCTTTAATCCATCTAGAGTTACTTTTGTATAAGGTATAAGGAAGGGATCCAGTTTCAGCTTTCTGCATATGGCTAGCCAGTTTTCTCAACACCATTTATTAAATAGGAAATCCTTTCCCCGTTGCTTGTTTTTAACAGGTTTGTTAAAGGTCAGATGATTGTAGATGTGTTGCATTGTTTCTGAGGCCTCTTTGCTGTTCAATTGGTCTGTATATCCGTTTTGGTACCAGTACCGTGCTGTTTTGATTACTGAAGCCTTGTATTATTGTTTGAAGTCAGGTACTATGATGTCTCTAGCTTGTTTTTTTGTTTTGTTTTGTTGATGTTGTTGTTGTTGCTTTTGCTTAGGATTGTCTTGGCTATCCAGGCTCTTCTGTGGTTCCATATGAAGTTCAAGGTGGTTTTTTCCAATTCTGTGAAGAAAATCGATGGTAGCTTGATGGGTATAGCATTGAATCTATAAATTACTTGGGGCAGTATGGCCATTTTCACAATATTGATTCTTCTTTACCATGAGCATGTAATGCTTTTCCATCTTTTTGTGTCCTCTCATACTTCCTTGAGCAGTGGTTTGTAGCTCTCCTTGAAGAGATCCTTCAAATCCCTTGTTAATTGTATTCTTAATATTTTATTCTCAACAAACAAACAAAAAAAAGAATAAAAAGTATTTTATTCTCTTAGTAGCAATTGTTAATGGAAGTTCACTCATGATTTGGTGCTCTGTTTGTCTGTTATTGGTGTATAGGAATGCTTGTGATTTGCTGAAGTTCCTTATAAGTTTCAGGAGATTTGAGGCTGAGATGATAGGGTCTTCTAAATATACAATCATGTCATCTGCAAATAGAGACAATTTGACTTCTTCTTTTCCTAATAGAATACCCTTTATTTCTTTTTCTTGCCTTATTGTTCTGGCCAGAACTTTCAACACAATGTTGAATAGGAGTGGTGAGAGACGGCATCCTTGTCTTGTACCAGTTTTCAAAAGGAATGCTTCCAGTTTTTTCCCATTCAGTATGATATTGGCCATAGGATTGTCATAAATAGCTCTTATTATTTTGAGATATGTTCCACTGATACCTAGTTTATTGAGAGTTTTAGCATAAAGGACTGTTGAATTTTGTTGAAGGCCTTCTCTGCATCTATTGAGATAAACATGTGGTTTCGTCTTTGGTTCTGTTTATGTGATGGATTACGTTTACAGATTTGCATATGTTGAACCAGCCTTGTATCCCCGGGATGAAGGCTACTTGATCGTGATGGATAAGGTTTTTCACATGCTGTTGGATTTGGTTTGCCAGTATTTTATTGAGGACTTTCACATCAATGTTCATCATGGATATTGGCCTAAAATTTTTTTTTAGTTGTGTCTCTGCAAGGATTTGGTATCGGGATGATGTTGGTCTCCTAAAATGAATAAGGAAGGATTCCCTCTTTTTGTATTGTTTGGAATAGTTTCAGAAGGAATGGTACCAGCTCCTCTTTGTAATTCTGGTAGAATTTGGCTGTGAACCCATCTGGTCTTGGACTTTTTTTGTTAGTAGGCTATTAATTGCTGCCTCAATTTCAGACCTTGTTATTGGTCTATCCAGGGATTAAACTTCTTCTTGGTTTAGTCTTGGGAGATTGTAAGTGTCCAGGAATTTACCCATTTCTTCTAGATTTACTGGTTTCTGTGCACAGAGGCTTTTGTAGTAATCTTCGATGGTAGTTTGTATTTCTGTGGGATCAGTGGTGATATCCCCTTTATCATTTTTTATTGCATCTATTTGATTCTTCTCTCTTCTTTTTCATTAGTTAGGCTAGTAGTATATCTATTTTGTTGATCTTTTCAAAAAACCAGCTCCTAAGTTTGTTGATTTTTAGGGGTTTTTTATAACTTTATCTCCTTCAGTTCTGCTCTGATCTTAGTTATTTCTTGTCTTCTGCTGGCTTTTGAGTTTGTTGGATCTTGCTCCTCTAGTTCTTTTAATCATGAAGTTAGGGTGTCAATGTTAAATCTTTTCTCACTTCTCTTGTAGGCATTTAGTGCTGTAAATTTCCATCTAGACACTGCTTTAAATGTGTCACAGAGATTCTGGTATGTTGTATCTCCATTTTTGTTGGTTTCAAAGAACATCTTTATTTCTGCCTTCATTTTGTTATTTATCCAGTAGTCATTCATGAGCAGGTTGTTCAGTTTCCATGTAGCTGTGCAATTTTGAGTGAGTTTCTTAATCCTGAGTTCTAATTTGATTGCACTGTGGTCTGAGAGACTGTTTGTTATGATTTCTGTTATTTTGCATTTGCTAAGGAGTGTTTTACTTCCATTTATGTGGTCAGTTTTAGGATACGTGTGATGTGGTGCTGAGAAGAAAGTATATTCTGTGGATTTGAGATGGAGAGTTCTATTGATGTCTATTAGGTCCGCTTGTTCCAGATCTGAGCGCAAGTCCTGGATATCCTTGTTAATCTTCTGTCCTGTTGATCTGTCTAATATTGACAGTGGAGTGTTAAAGTCTCTTTGTAGGTCATTAAGAACTTGCTTTATGTATCTTGGTGCTCCTGTATTGGGTGCATATATATTTAGGATAGTTAGCTCTTCTTGTTGCATTAATCCCTTTGCCATTATGTAATTCCCTTCTTTGTCTCTTTTGATCTTTGTTGGCTTAAAGTCTATTTTATCAAAGACTAGGATTGCAACTCCTACTTTTTTTTTTTTCCTCTCCATTTGCTTGGTAAATCTTCCTCCATCCCTTTATTTTGAGCCTATGTGTGTCTTTGCACATGAGATGGATCTTCTGAATACAGCACACTGATGGGTCTTGACTCTTTATCCAATTTGCCAGTGTGTGTCTTTTAATTGGTACATTTAGCCCATTTACATTTAAGGTTAATATTGTTATGTTGTGAAGTTGATCCTGCCATTTTGATGCTAGCTGGTTGTTTTTCCCATTAGTTGATGCGGTTTTTTCATAGTGTTGATGGTCTTTACAATTTGGTATGTTTTTGCAGTGGCTGATACCGGATGTTCCTTACCATGTTTAGTGCTTCCTTCAGGAACTATTGTAGAGCAGGCCTGGTGGTGATGAAATCTCTCAGCAGTTGCTTGTCCATAAAGGATTTTATTTCTCCTTCACTTACGAAGCTTAATTTGGCTGGATATGAAATTCTGGGTTGAAAATTCTTTTCTTTTAAGATGTTGAATTTTGGCCCCCACTCTCCTCTGGCTTGTAGAGTTTCCACTGAGGGATCTGCTGTGTGCTGATGGACTTCCCTTTTTGGGTAACCTAATCTTTCTCTCTGGCTGCCCTTAGCAATTTTTCCTTCATTTCAGCTCTGGTGAACCTGATGATTATTTGCCTTGGGATTGCTATTCTCGAGGAATACCTTTGTCGTGTTCTCTGTATTTCCTGTACTTGGATGTTGGCCTGCCTTGGTAAGTTGGGGAAGCTCTCCTAGATAATATCCTGAAGAGTGTTTTCCAGGTTGGTTTCATTCTCCCTGTTGCTTTCAGGTACACCGATCAAACATAGATTTTGTCTTTTCACATAATCCCATATTTATTGGAGGCTTTGTTCATTTCTTTTCACTGTTTTTTCTCTAATCTTGCCTCTACCTTTATTTCATTGAGTTATCTTCAATCTCTGATATACTTTCTTTCACTTGATTGATTTGGCTATTGGAACTTGTGTATGCTTCATGAAGTTCTTGTGCTATGTTTTTCAGCTCCATCAAATTATTTATGTTCTTCTCTATGCTGGTTATTCTAGTTAGCATTTCATCTAACCTTTCTTCAAGGTTCTTAGCTTCCTTGCATTGGGTTAGAACATGTTCATTTAGCTTGGAGAATTTTATTATCCACCTTCTGAAGCCTGCTTCTGTCAACTCATCAAATTCATTCTCCATCCAGTTTTGTTCCCTTGCTGGTGAGGAGTTGCGATCCCTTGGAGGAGAATAGGTGTTCTGGTTTTTGGAGATTTCAGCTTTTTTGCATTGGTTTCTTCCCATCTTCTTGGATTTATCTACATTTGGTCTTTGAAGTTGGTGGCTTTTGGATGGGGTCTCTGAGTGGACATCCTTTCTGTTGATGTTGAAGCTATTTCTTTCTGTTTGTTAGTTTTTCTTCTAACAGTCAGGAGCCTCTGCTGCGGGTCTGCTGGAGTTTGCTGGAGGTCCACTCCAGACGCTGCTTGCCTGGGAATCACCTGTGGGAGCTTAGAACAACAAAGATTGCTGCCTGTTCCTTCCTCTGGTAGCTTCCAGATGTCAGCCAGAGCTCTCCTGTATGAGGTGTATGTCAGCCAGGATACATGAGGGTCAAGGAGCCACTTGAGGAGGCAGTCTGTTCCTTATCAGAGCTCAAGCACTGTGCTGGGAGATCCCTTCAGAGCTGCTGGGCAGGGACATTTAAGTCTGCTGAAGCAAACCCACAACCACCCCCTTTCCCAGGTGCTCTGTCCCAGGAAGGTGGGGGCTTTATTTATAAGTCACTGACAGGCTGCTGCCTTTTCTCAGAGACACCCTGCCCAGCAAGAAGGGAGTCTAGTTGACAGTCTGCCTGCAGAGCCCTTGTTGAGCTGCAGCGGGCTCTACCCAGCAGCTATGTAATCTTCCTAGAGAGTTTGTTTACACAGGCAAGGTTAAAACTGCCTACCAGAGACTCAGCAATGGCAGACGCCCCTCACCTCATGGAGCTAGAACATCCCAGGTAGAGCTTAGACTGCTGTGCTAGCTGCAAGAATTTCAAGCCAGTGGATCTTAGCTTGCTGCTCTTTGTGTGTGTGGGACCCACTGAGCCAGATCACTTGGCTCCCTGCCTTCAGCCCCCTCTTTTAGAGGAATTAGCGGTTCTGTCTGGCTGGTGTTCCAGGCACCACTGGGGTATGAAAGAAAAAAAGAAACTGCTGCAGCTAAAATGGCCACCCAGTTTTGTGCTGGATACCTGGGGCACTGGTGGTGTAGGCACCAGAGGGAATCTCCCGGTCTGCAAGTTGTAAAGATCATAATAGTGCAGTATCTGAGCCAGAGTGTCACGAAAAGTCCCTAATGGCTTCCCCTGGCTAGGAGAGGGAGTCCTCCAGCCACTTGTGCTTCCTGGGCAAGGTGATGCCCCACCCTGCTTCAGATTGCCATCCTTGGGCTACACCTACTGTCTAACCAGTCACAGTGAGATGAACCTGGTACCGAGGTTGGAAATGCAGAGATCACTTGCCTTCTGGGTCACTCTCACTGGGAACTGCAGACTGGAGTTCTTCCTATTCCACATTTCATCTCTTCTATAGCATTTTGCTTACTGCATACAGCATTTTAGTATAGTTGAGTCTGTATTTACTATCTCTGATAGAATTGTAAAGACTTTTATGGTAAAGACTTTGTTCTATAGAATATTGCTTCTTTATCTTCCCATTAATTTTTATTTAATATTTAGAGCATAATTATTTAATACCTGCTATGCTGTAGGCCCTGTGCTGGGTCACAAAAAAATTAAAGTGGAAACACATAGGCCCCCTCACAGGGCATAGCAAAAGCACAAAACAGCATAAGTTGGAGGACATGAGATGTAGCATTCCAGGTAGAAGAAATAGAATCAAGAAATAACGGAGTTAAGAGAGTGTGTGGTGATTTCAAAGATCTGAAAGGAATACAACAGGACTGAAGCATAAAACAAAGGTGATAAGCATGAAAATTATAGGTAGAGCCAGATCATCATGAAATTAACCCAAACGCCCCACATGAAATCAACCCAAATGCCCATCAATGACAGACTGGATAAAATGTGGTACATATGCAGTATGGAATACTATGCAGCCATAAAAAGGAATCAAGTTTATGTTTTCTGCAGGAACATGGATGGAGCTGGAAGCCATTATCCTCAGCAAACTAACACAGGAATAGAAAACCAACCACATGTTCTCAGTTATAAGTGGGAGATGAGCAATGAGAACACATGGACACAGGTAGGGGAACAACACACACTGGGGCCTGTCTGAAGACGGGGTGGCGGAAGGGAGAGCATCATGATAAATAGCTAATGTATGCTGGCCTTAATACCTAGGTGATGTGTTGATAAATGCAGCAAACCATGATGGCATATGTTTCCCTATGTAACAAACCTGCACATCCTGCACATGCACCCCAGACCTTAAAATCAAAATAAAAAATTATTTAAAAGAACATCATAATAGAATTGCTCAAAACCAATGACAGGGAGAAAAATCTTAAAACAGCAAGCAACAAGATGCTTTGTAACAAGTTAAGAGTTTTAGTAGATTTCTCTTCAAAAGTAATGCAAGTGAAAAAAATGGATTACGTTTTCAAAGTATTAAAAAGAACTGTCAGAATTCTTAGCCCCCAAAAAAATCGTTTCAATACAGGAATGACTCAGAGATATTGCAGGTTCAATTCCAGACCACCACAATAAAGCAAATATCAAAATAAAGCAAGTCACACAAAATTGTTGGTTTTCTAGTACACATAAAAGTTATGTTTATATTATAATTTAGTCCACTAAGTTTACAATAGCATTATGTTTTTTTAAAAGCAAAGATCTTGAGTTACAGGAGAGATCATAACAAACGGGAGGCAGGACTAGATTGCAGCCCCCACTCAGATGAACAGAGCAGCATGTGGAGGCTTGCATCCTTAACTTTTGCTCCAGAACAACTGCAGGAATAAATCATGAAAGCCAAGAGAACCCACAGACCCTCTGAAGGAAGCAGATTTCTCCCGAAGGACCTGGGAGACACCGTAAATACTATGAGTGCCCAAACTGTGGAAGTGGGAAATGGGGATCATCCACCCCCAAACACACACCCTCACTGGGGAAGCTGAAGGTCTAGATGGTGGGAGAAGTTTCTTACCTTACCTGGAGCTGAGTCCATTTAGAGAGCCAAGCAAAACACAGGGATAGAGGAAGCAGCAGGAAAAGGCCTGTGGGCTTGCTGGGTCCCCTAGCAAGACATTTCTGCCTTGCCTCACAGAAGTGCTTAGGGAAGGTGGCCAGAGGCACTAGGAAAAGGCCACAGGGAGAAGGAAACATCCAAGTGAATTTGTAACAATTTGAATTCATCTAGAAGTTTCCTGGCCAGAACTCAGGGTAGGGTGTGAATCTGGTGTGCAGACTCCACAGCCAAGGGAAGCATGAAAGCCCTACTTGCTTTCACAGCTGGTGGGATGGGTAGCCTGGGGCAAGTTCTCAGCCCTGCTCACTCACTGCCTGGAAGCACACTTGGTGCTGTTGGAGGGGACACAATGGGAGTGAGACTGGCCTTTGGGTTGCATGGGAGTTGGGTGAGGCCTGTTACTGTCAGCTTTCCCCCACTTCCCTAACAACTGCATGACACAGTAGAGGTAGCCATAATCCTCCTAGGAACCTAACTCCATTGACCTAGGAACCACACCCCCATCTCCCACAACAGTTGCAGCAAGGCCTACCCAAGGAGAGTCTAAGCTCAGACATGCTTAAGCCTGCCCCCACCTAATGGTCCTTCCCAATTCACCCTGGTATCTGAAGACAAAGGGGGTATACTCTTAGGAGTTCTAAGGCCCTGCCCACTGCCTGATGCCTCTCCATGCTACCACAGGTGAGGCTCTCTTTAAAGCGCCACCTCCAGCAGGAGGCCAATCAGCCCAAAAATAGTGAGTTAAACAACCAGAGCTAAGAATACTCACAGAGTTCATTTCACCATGCTGCCACTTCCATCAGAGCAGGGGGTGCTGATATCCATAGCTTAAAGACCCACAAACAGTTCATATCACAGTACTCTGTGCAGACAACTTCCAGTCCCAGCACAGAGCCTCTTAGACTGGCTGGGTGGCTAGATCCAGAAGAGAGACAGTGATCACTACAGCTTGGCTCTCAGGAAGACACATCCCTAGGAAAAGGGGGAGAGTACCACATCAAGGGAGCAACCCATGGGACAAAAAAATCTTAGCAACAGCCTTCAGACCTTTCCTCTGACAGAGACTACACAAATGAGAAGAAACCAGAAAACCAACCCTGGTAATACAACAAAACAAGGTTCTCTAACAACCCCACTAGCTCACCAGCAGTGGATCCAAACCAAGAAGAAATTCCTGATTTACCTGAAAAAGAATTCAGGAGGTTGATTATTAAGCTATTCAGGGGAGCACCAGACAAAGGCAAAGCTCAATTTAAGGAAGTGAAAAAATGGTACAAGAAATGAAGGGAGAAATTCTCAATGAAATAGATAGCATAATTAATAAACATTCAGGAAACAATGGACACACATAAAAATGCAAAATGCTCTGGAAAGTCTCAACCATAGAAATGAACAAGCAGAAGAAAGAACTTCAGAGCTTGAAGACAAGGTTTTCAAATTAACCCAATGTAACAAAGACAAAAAAGAATATGAAAATATGTACAACGCCTCCAAGAAGTCTGGGATTATGTTAAATGACCAAACCTAATAATAATTGGTGTTCCCAAGAAAGAAAAGAAATCCAAAAGTTTGGAAAACATATTTGGGGAAATAATTGAGGAAAACTTCCCCAGCCTTGCTAGAGACCTATGCATATAAATACAAGAAGCCCAAAGAACCCATGGAAAATTCGTCACAGAAAGATCATTGCCTAGCCACATTATCATAAGGTTATCTAAAGTTAAGATGAAGGAAAGAATCCTAAGAGGTGTGAGACAAAAGCACCAGGTAACCTATAAAGGAAAACCTATCAGGTTAATAGCAGATGTCTCAGCAGAAACCCTACAAGCTGGAAGGGATAAGGGCCCTATCTTCAGCCTCCTAAAACAAAACAATTATCAATGAGGACTTTTGTATCCAGCAAAAATAAGCTTCATAAATGAAGGAAAAATACAGCCTTTTTCAGATAAACAAATGGAGAGAGTATTCACCACTATATCAAGCCAGCACTATAAAAACTGACAAAAGGAGCTGTAAATATTGAAACAAATTCTGGAAACACATCAAAACAGAACATCTTTAATGCATGAATCTCACAGAACCTATAAAACAAAAACACAATTTAAGAACGAAAGGTATACAGGCAACAAATAGCATGACGAATGGAATGGTACCTCACATCTCAATACTAATGTTGAATGTAAATGGCCTAAATACTTCACTTAAAAGATATAGAATTGCAGAATGGATAAGAATTCACCAACCAACTATCTGCTGCCTTCAAGAGATTCACCTAACATATAAGGACTCACATCAACTTCAGGTAAGGGGTGAAAAAAGCCATTCCATGCAAATGGACACAAAAAGCAAGCAGGAGTATCCATTCTTATGTCAGGCAAAACAAACTTTAAAGCAACAGCAGTTTAAAATGACTAACAGGGACATTATATGATTATAAAAGGCCTTGTCCAACAGGAAAATATCACAATCCTAAGTATATATGCACCTAACACTGGAGATACCAAATTTGTAAAACAGTTACTAATAGACCTAAGAAATGAGATAGTCAGCAACACAATAATAGTGGGAGACTTCAATACTCCACTGACAGCACCAGACAGGTCATCAAGACAGAAGGACAACAAAGAAACAATGGCATTAAATTCTACCCTGGAACAAATGGACTTAATAGATATTTACAGAACATTCTACAACCACAGAATATGCATTCTACTCATCAGCCCATGGAACTTTCTCCAAGATAGACCATATGATAGGCCATAAAACAAGCCTCAATAAATTTAAGAAATTTGAAATTATATCAAGCAGTCTCTCAGATCACAGTGGAATAAAACTGGAAATCAACACCTAAAGGAAACCTTCAAAACCATGTAACTATATGGAAATTAATAACCTGCTCCTGAATGATCATTGGGTCAAAAATGAAATCAAGATAGGAGTTAAAATATTCTTTGAACTGAACTACAATAGTGACAAAACATATCAAAACCTCTGGGATACACCAAAGACAGTGCTAAGAGGAAGTGTATAGCCCTAAATGCCTACATTAGAAGGTTTGAAATAACACAAACAATCTAAGGCCACACACCTCAAGGAACTAGAAGAACAAGAACAAACCAAACCCAAACCCAGCAGAAAAAAGGAGATAACCAAGAACAGAGCAAAACCAAATGAAATTGAAACCAAAAAATACAAAAGATAAATGAAACAAAAAGCTGGTTCCTTGAAAAGATAAATAAAAATTGATAGACCATTCACAAGATTAACCAAAAAAAGGAGAGAAAATGAAAATAAGCTCAATTAAAAACAAAACAGGATATGTTACAGCTGATGCCACAGAAATACAAAAGACCATTCAAGGCTACTGTGAACACCTTTATTTGCATAAATTTGGAAACCCAGAGACAGATAAATTCCTGGAAAGATACAACCCTCCTAGCTTAAATCAGGGAGAATTAGATACCGCGAACAGAACAGACCTACAACAAGCAGTAAGATTGAAGTGGTAATTTAAAAATTATCAACCAAAAAAAGTCCACAACAAGATGAATACACAGCAGAATGCTACCAGACATTTAAAGAAGAATTGGTACCAATCTTATTGACACTATTCAAAAGATAGAGAAAATCACTTTATGAAGCCAGCATCATTCTAGTACCAAAGCTAGGAAAGGACATAATCAAAAAAAAAAAAAAACTACAGGTCAATATTCCTGATGGACATAAATGCAAAAATCCTTAACAAAATACAAGCCAACCAAGTCCAATGACATATCAAAAAGTTAATCCAGCATGATCAAGTGGGTTTCACACCAGGGACACAGCAATGGTTTAACATATGCAAGTCAATAAATGTGATATACTATATAAACAGATTTAAAAATAAAAATCACATGACCATCTCAACAGATGCAGAAAAAGCATTTGACGAAATCCAGCATCACTTTATAATTAAAACTCTCAGCAAAATCAGCATACAAGAGACAAGCTTCAATGAAATAAAAGCCATCTGTTGCAAACCCACAGCCAACATAATACTGAATGGGGAAAAGTTGAAACCATTCCTTCTGAGAACTGGAACAAGACAAGTATGCCCACTCTCACCACTTTTCTTCAACATAGTACTGGAAATCCTAGCCAGAGCAATCAAATGAGAGAAAGAAATAAAGGTCATTCCAAATAGATAAAGAGGAAGTCAAACTGTCACTGTTTGCTGATGATATGATTGTTTACCTAGAAAACCCTAAAGACTCCTTCTAGAAAGCTCCTAGAAGTGATTTTTTAAAAAATCATCAGTTTCCCGGTACAAAATTAATGTACACAAATTAGTGGCTCTTCTATATACCAACATGGACCAAGCTGAGAATCAAATCAAGAACTCAATCCCTTTTACAATAGCTGCAAAAATTAAATAAAATACTTAGGAATATACCTAATCAAGGAGGTGAAAGACCTCTACAAGGGAAACTACAGAACACTGCTGAAAGAAATCACAGATGACACAAAAAAATTGAAACATATCCCATGCTCATGGGTGGATAGAAACAATATTGTAAACTCAAAAGCAATCTACAAATTCAATACAATTCCCATCAAAATACCGCCATAATTCTTCAAAGACTAGAAGAATTCATATGGAACCAAAAAAGGGCCCACATAGCCAAAGGAGGAATAAGCAAAAAGAACACATCTGAAGGCAACACATTACCTGATTTCAAACTATGCTATAAGGTTATACTCACCAAAACAACATGATACTGCTACAAAAATAGGCACATAGACCAATGGAACAGCATAGAGAACCCAAATACTCACAGCCAACTGATCTTCAACAAAGCAAACAAAAACATAAAGTGGAGAAAGGAAACTCTATTCAACAAATGATGCTGGGATAATTGGCAAGCCACATGTAGGCTTCATCACTCACCTTTTGCAAAAATCAACTCAAGATGTATCAAGAACTTAAAATCTAAGACCTGAAACTATAAAAATACTAGATGATAACACTGGGAAAAAATCCTTCTAGCCATTGGTTTAGGCAAGGATTTTATGACCAAGAACTTAAAAGCAAATGCAATAAAACCAAAGATTAATAGCTATGACTTAATAAAACTAAGGAGATTTTGCACATCAAAAGGAACAGTCAGCAGAGTAAACAGACAACCCACAGAGTGGGAGGAAATCTTCACAATCTATACATCTGACAAAATACTAATATCTAGAATCTACAATAAACTCAAACAAATTAGCAAGAAAAAAATAATCCCATCAAAAAGTGGGCTAAGGTCATGAATAGACAGTTTTCCAAAGAAGATATGCAAATAGCCAATAAACATATGAAAAAATGCTCAACATCACTAATGATCAGGGAAATGCAAATGAAAACCAAAATGCAATACCGCCTTACTCTTCAATGAATGGCGATAATCAAAAAATTTAAAAAAAAATAGATGTTGGCATGGATGCAGTGAACTGGGAATACTTCAACATTGCTGGTGGGAAGGTAAACTAGAATAATAACTATGGAAAACAGTGTGAAGAATTTTCAAAGAACTAAAAGTAGAATTACCATTCGATCTAGCAATACCACTACTGGGTATCTACCCAGAGGAAAAGAAGTCATTATTCAAAAAAGATACTTGCACATGCATATTTATAGCAGCACAATTCGCAATTGCAAAAATTTGGAACCAACACAAATGCCCATGAATAAACAAGTGAAAAAGAAACTATGGTATATATGATGGAATACTACTCAGTCATAGGAAGCAATAAATTAATGGCATTCACAGTGGCCTGGGTGTTGGAGACTATTATTCTAAATGAAGTAACTCCAAGCATCATATGTTCTCACTCATAAATCGGAGCTAAACTATGAGGATGCAAAGGCATAAGGATGACACAGTGGACTTTGGGGACTCAGAGGTTAAGGGTGGGAAGGGTGTGAGGGATAAAAGACTACAAATTATGTGCAATGCGTACTGCTCAGGAGATGGGTGCACCAGATCTCACAAGTCACCGCTAAAGAAATTACTCATGTAACCAAACACCACCTGTTCCCCAATAACCTATGGAAATAATTTTTTTAACTAAGTAAATAAATAAGAGTTAATTACATGAAAAAAAATCTTAATTTACAATCATTTGTCATTCAAAATGTTGATAATCATCTGAGTTTTCAGCAAGTCATAATCTTTTTGCTGATGAAGGATCTTGCCTCGATGTTGATAGCTGATGAGTGCATCAGGGTGGTGGGTGCTAAAGGTTGAGGTTGCCATGGCTATTCCTTAAAATAAGATGACAGTGATGTTTCCTGCATCAATTGACTTCCATCCACAAAAGATTTGTCTGTAGTACGTGATGTAATGCTGCTTGATAGCATTTTACTCACAGTAGAACTTTATTCAAAATTAGAGTCAATCCTCTCAAACTGTCCTGCTTTATCAACTAAGTTTATAAAATATTCTAAATCCTTTGTTGCCATTTAAACAATGTTCACAGCATCTTCAAATGAAGTAAATTCCATCTCAAGAAACCACTTTATTTGCTCATCCATAAGAAGCAACTCATCCTTTCAAGTTTTATCATGAGATTAAAGCAATTTAGTCACATATTCTAATTCTAGTTTTATTGCTATTTCCACCATATCTACAGTTTCTTCCTCCATTAAAGGTTTGAACTCCTCAAAGTAATCCATGAGGGATGGAATCTAATTCTTCCAAAACTCCTGTTAATATTGGTGTTTTGACCTCCACCCATGAATCACAAATGTTCTTAATGCCATCTGGAATGGTGAATTCTTTCCAGGAGTTTTTAACTTACTTTGTACAGATCTACCAGAAGAATCACTATAAGCAGCTATAGTCTTATAAAATGTATTTCTTCTTTTTATTCAATTTTATTTTAAGTTCAGGGATAAGTGTGCAGGATGTGCAGATTTGTTAGAGAAGCAAATGTGTGCCATGGTGATTTGCTGCACAGATCATCCCATTACCTACGTATTAAGCCCAGCATCCACTAGCTATTCTTCCTGATGTTCTCCTTCCACCCCCACAATAGGTTCCAGTGTGTGTTGTTCCTCCCCATGTATTTATGTGTTCTCAGTGTTCAGCTCCCACTTATAAGAGAGAACGTGTGCTGTTTGGTTTTCTGTTCCTGCATTAGTTTGCACAGGATTAGGGCTTCCAACTCATCATGTCCTTGAAAAGGACATGATCTTGTTCCTTTTTATGGCCGCATGGCATTCCATGGTGTGTACGTACAACATTTTCTTTATTCAGTCTACTGCTGATGGGCATCTAGGTTGATTTCATGTCTTTGTTATTGTGAATACTGCTGCATCTTCATATATCTTTAAAATAGAATGATTTATTAATATATTCTTTTGGGTATATACCCAGTAATGGGATTGCTGGATCCAATGGTATTTCTGCCTTTAGGTCTTTGAGGAATTGCACACTGTCTTCCACGATGGCTGAACTAATTTACATTCCCACCAATAGTGTAAAAGTGTTCCTTTTTCTCTGCAACCTCACCAGCATCTGTTGTACTTTGACCTTTTAATAATAGCCACTCTAACTGTTGTGAGATGTTATCTCATTGTGGTTTAGATTTGCATTTCTCTCATGATCTGTGATGTTGAGCTCTTTTTTTCATGTTTGTTGGCTGTATGTATGTCTTTTTTGAAGTATCTGTTCATATCCTTTGTTCACTTTTTAATAGGGCTTTTTGATTTTGTTTTGTAAATTAAGTTCTTTGTAGATACTGAATATTAGACCTTTGTCAGATGGATAGATAGAAAAAATTTTCTCCCATTCTGTAGGTTGCCTCCTCACTCTTCACAGAAGTATGATGATACTTTCTTTTGCCATGCAGAAGCTCTTTAGTTTAATTATATACCATTTGTCCATTTTTGCTTTCTTTGCTATTGCTTTTGACATTTTCATAATGAAATCTTCACCCTTGCCTATATCCTGAATGGTATTGCCTAGACATTCTTCTGCAGTTTTATAGTTTTGGATGTCACATTTAAGTCTTTAATCCATCTTGAGTTAATTTTTATATATGATGTAAGGAAGGGATCCAGTTTCAATTTTCTGCATATGCCTAGTTTGTTCTCCTAGTATCACTTATTAAATAGATAATCTTTTATACATTTCTTGCTTTTGTCAGGTTTGCCAATGATCAGATGGTTGTAGCTGTGCAGTCTTATTTCTGAGTCCTCTATTCTGTTCCATATGTCTGTTCTTGTACCAGTACCACGCTATTTTGCTACTGTGGCCTTGTAGTATAGTTTGAAGTTGGGTAGAATAATGCCTCCAGCTTTGTTCTTTTTCCATAAGATTGTCTTCAATATTCAGGCATTTTTTGGTTCCATATGAATTGTTAAATAGTTATTTCTAAATCTGTGAAGAATGTCAATGGTCATTAAATGGAAATAGCATTGAATCTCTAAATTATTTGGGGCTGTATGGCCATTTTCATGATATTAATTCTTCCTATCCATGAGTATGGAACATTTTTCCATTTGTTTGTGTCCTCTCTGATTAAATGGATTTCTTTATATATATATATAAACTTTAAGTTCTGGGGTACATGTGTAGACCGTGCAGGTTTGTTACATAGGTATACATGTGCCATGGTAGTTTGTTGCACCCATCAACCTGTCATCTACATTAGGTATTTCTCCTAATGCTCTCCCTCCCCTATTCTCTCACCCCCCAAGAGGCCATAGTATGTGATGTTCCCCTCCCTGCATCCATGTGTTCTCACTGTTCAATTCCCACTTATGAGTCAAAACATGCAGTATTTGGTTTTCTATTCTTCTGTTACTTTGCTGAGAATGATGATTTCCAGCTTCATCCATTTCCCTGCAGAGAACATGAACTCATCCTTTTTTATGGCTGCATAGTATTCCATGGTGTATATGTACCACATTTTCTTTATCCAGTCTATCTTTGATGCACATTTGGGTTACAAGTCTTTGCTATTGTAAACACTGCTGCAATAAACATATGTGCATGTGTCTTTATACTAGAATAATTTATAATGCTTTGGGTAATTACCCAGCAATGGGATTGCTGGGTCAAATGATATTTCTATTTCTAGATCCTTGAGGAATCACCACTCTTTCTTCCACAGTGGTTGAACTAATTTACACTCCCACCAACAGTGTAAAAGCATTCCTATTTCCCCACATCCTCTCCAGCATCTGTTGTTCCTGGCTTTTTAATAATCACCATTCTAACTGGCATGAGATGATATCTCAATGTGGTTTTGATTTGCATCTCTCTAATTACCAGTGATGATGAGCTTTTCTTCATACGCTTGTTGGCTGCATAAATGTCTTCTTTTGAGAAGTGTCTGTTCATATCCTTCTCCCAATTTTTGATGGGGTTATTTGTTGTCTTTTTTTTTTTTCTTGTAAAGTTGTTTAAATTTTTTGTAGATTCTAGATATTAGACCTTTGTCAGAAGGATAGATTGCAAAAATTTCTCACATTCTGTAGATTGCCTGCTCACTCTGATTATAGTTTCTTTTGCTGTGCAGAAGTTCTTTAGTTTAATTAGATTATATTTGTCAATCTTGGCTTTTGTTCCCATTGCCTTTGGTGTTTTAGTCATGGAGTCTTTGTCCATGCCTATGTCCTGAATGGTATTACCTGGGTTTTTCTTCCAGAGTTTTTATGGTCTTAGGTCTTACGTTTGTCTTTAATTCAGCTTGAGTTAATTTTTGTATAAGGTGTAAGAAAGGGATCCAGTTTCAGTTTTCTGCATATGGCTAGCCAGTATTCCCTTCATCATTAATGAAACAGGGAATGCTTTCCCCATTGCTTGTTTTTATCAGGTTTGTCAAAGGTTAGATGATTGTAGATATGTGGCATTATTTCTGTAAGGCGGGCCTGGTGGTGATGAAATATCTCAGCAGTTGCTTGCCTGTAAACGATTTTATTTCTCCTTCACTTGTGAAACTTAGTTTGGCTGGATAGGAAATTCTGGGTTGAAAATTCTTTTCTTTAAGGATGTTGAATATTGGCCCCCACTCTCTTCTGGCTTGCAGGGTTTCTTCTGAGAGATCTGCTGTGAGTCTGATGGGCTTCCCTTTGTGGGTAACCCAACCTTTCTCTCTGGCTGCCCTTAGCATTTTTTCTTTCATTTCAACCGTGGTAAATCTGATAATTATGTGTCTTGGGGTTGCTCTGCTCAAGGAATATTAGTGGTGTTCTCTGTGTTTCCTGAATTTGAATGTTGGCCTGCCTTTCTAGTTGGGGGAGTTCTCCTGGATAATATTCTAAAGACTGTTTTCCAACTTGGTTTCATTCTTCCCATCACTTTCAGGTACACTGATCAAATGTAGGTTTTGTCTTTTCACATAATCCAATATTTCTTCAAGGCTTTGCTCATTTCTTTTCACTCTTTCTTCTCTAATCTTGCCTTCTCACTTTATTTTATTGAGTTGATCTTCAATCTCTGATATCCTTTCTTCCGATTAATTAATTCAACTATTGAAACTTGTATATACTTCACAAAGTTCTCATGCTCGGTTTTTCAGCTCCATCAGGTTGTTTATGTTCTTCTTTTTGCTGGTTATTCTAGTTAGCATTTCATCTAACCTTTTTTAGAGGATCTTAGCTTCCTTGCATTGGGTTATAACATGCTTGTTTAGCTCAAAGAAGTTTGTTATTACCCACCTTCTGAAGCCTGCTTCTGTCAATTCATCAAACTCATTCTCCATCCAGTTTTGTTCCTTTGCTGGTGAGGAGTTGTGATCCCTTGTGGTTTTGTTAGTTTTTCTTCTAACAGTCGGGAACCTCTGCTGCAGGTCTGCTGGAGTTTGCTGAAGGTCCACTCTAAATCCTGCTTGCTTGGGAATCACCAGCAGGGGCTGCAGAACAGCAAAGATTGCTGCCAGTTCCCTCCTCTGGTAGCTTTGAGACCAGGTTGTGGGTTGCAGGGGAGGCTCAGCTCCCTAGTGGGAGATGCCCCGGTGTGCACAGGTCCTTTGGCTCTCATCCACCCAAGAATAGGTAAGAGGTCTTGGCATGGTGATATTATTCATGGAAATATAGGACCCCAAGAGCTTTTGCAGAAAAATGATTTATTAGGCAAAGAGAGAAAGAGAAGTAGGGAGAGAAAAGCCAATTCCCACACTGTTGTGGGAAATCTGCACAGGTGAGGGGCAGGAGGTCTTTTAATCTGGCAGTTATTCCCACCCCATCCAAGTTATTGTCCCACAAGAGGATGTCCTTCAAATGTTGGAATGTCTGATCTTTGATTCTGACATCTGATTGTTTGGCCCAGAGTCCTCCCATAGCTTTTCATGGCCTTTTCTAAACAAAAGAAGCTAACCTAGCCAGTCTACCTTCCCACGCATCTGAAAGTTAGACAAAGACATTTAGGCTCCCAGATGGATACATGAAAGAAGTCAGGTCAAGCATATTGCTGGGATGTTCTTGCCTTTGAAACCATGCCCCTTGTGGACCCTGGAGGAAAAGTTAACATATTCTTTTGGCTTCATCCCAGAAGAGTACCTACCAGATGCCAGCCAGAGCTCTCCTGTATGAGGTGCCTGTCAGCCCCTGCTGGGAGGTGACTCCCAGTCATGATACACAAGGGTCAGGGAACCACTTGAGGAGGCCGTCTGTCCCTTATCAGAGCTCTAGCACTGTACAGGGAGATCTGTTGCTCCCTTCAGAGCTGCCAGTCAGGGACATTTAAGTCTGCAGAAGCTGAACCCACAACCGCCCCTTTTCCCGGGTGTCCTGTCCCAGGAAGGTGGGGGCTTTATTTATAAGTCCCTAACAGGCTGCTGCCTTTTATCAGAGATGTCCTGCCCAGCAAGAAGGGAGTTTAGTGACTGCCTGCAGAGGCCTTGCTGAGCTGCCATGGACTCCACCCTGTTGCTGTGTAAACTTCCCAGAGACTTTGTTTACACAGGCAAGGTTAAAACCACCTCCCAGAGCCTCAACAATGGCAGATGCCCCTCCCACCACCAAGCTAGAATGTCCCAGGTCAAGCTCAGACTGCTATGCTGGCTGCAAAAATTTCAAGCCAGTGGATCTTAGCTTGCTGGTCTTTGCAGGAGTTTGAGTCATTGTGCCACTGCACTCCAGCCTGGGCAACAGAGTAAAGACTCTGTCTCAAATGTATACATATATCATCAGCAAAGAATGACAAATTGACTTTCTCTTTCCCAGTGTGGATGGCTTTTATCTCTTTCTCTTACCTGATTTTTCTACCTAGGACTTCCAGTATTGTATTGAACAAGAGCAATGAAAGAGGGCATCCCTGTTTTTTTCCAGTTCTTAAATGAAGGCTTTCAACATTTTCCCATTTGATATGATGTTAACTGTGAGTTTGTTGTATATAGCCTGTATTATTTTGAGGTATGTTTCTTCTATGCCTAGTTTGTTGAGAGATTTTTATTATGAAGTGATGTTAAATTTTATCAAATGCTTTTTCAGCATCTATTGAGATGAACACATGGTTTCTGTCTTTCTATTGATATAAGCATCATGTTTATTAATTTGCATATATAAAGCCATCCTTGCATCCCTGGTATAAACCCCATCTAATTGTGGTATATCATCTTTTTGATGTGTACTCAGTTTGCTAGAATTTTGTTGGGGATTTTGTGTCTATGTTTATCAGGAATGTTATTATTGTTACATCAGTTTTCCTGTCTCCTTTTTCATTTCTGACTTTTTTTATTTGGGTCTTATCCTTTTCTTAGTCTAGCTAGCAGTTCATCAATTTTGTTTATCTTTTCAAAGAACCAACTTTTCATTGATTCTTTGATTTTTTTTTTTTTTTTTTGGTCTCTGTTTGATTATTTCTGCTCTGATCTTTATTTATTTTCGTCTGCTAATTTTGTGTTTGGTTTGTTATTACTTGCTAGTTTTGGGGGGTGCATTGCTAGAATGTTCATTTGTAATTTTTCTACCTTTTTGATGTAGACATAGAATGTTCATTTGTAATCTTTCTACCTTTCTGATGTAGGCATTTATTGCTATGAACTTCCCTCTTAGCCAAAGTTATCATTCAAGTAACTTTGCTTTTGTTGTATTCCAAAGATTTCAGTATGTTGTTTTCATTTTCAGTCATTTCAAGGAAATGTTTATTTCCATGTTGATTTCTTCCTTGGCCCAGTGGTAATTTAGAAGCATGTAGTTTAATTTCTAATTCTTTGTATTGTTTCTAGAGTTCTTCTTGATATTGATGTCTAGTTTTATTTCGTTGTGGTTGAGAAGATTCTTGACATAATTTTGATTTTTTTGAAATTTTTTGAGTCTTGTGTTGTGATTGGATATATGGTCTATCCTAGAGAATGTTCTATGGGCTGAGGAAACAAATATATGTTCTGCAGTTGTTGGATAGAATGATCTGTAAATGTCTGTTAGGTCTATTCAGTCTAAGGACCAACTTAGATCTAATGTTTGTTGATTTTTTTTTTTTTTTGGTCTAGATTATCTGTCTAATGGTAAGAACTAAGGTTAAAGTTCCCTACTATTATTTTATTGCAGTCTTTCTCTCTCCTTAGATCTAGTAACATTGCTGTACAATTCCGGGTGGTCCATCATTGGGTACATATACATTTAGAATTGTTACGTCCTCTTGCTGTATTGATCCATTTATTATTATATAATAACCTTCTGTGTCTTTTTTTTAACTGTTCTTGACTTAAAGTCTATTTTACCTGATGTAAGCATAGCTAATCCTGATCACTTTTGTTTATATTTGAGTGAAATATCATTTTCCTTCCCTGTTACCGTTAGTCTATATGTTTTTTCAGGTAAGGTGAGTTTCTTATAAGCAGTTTATAGTTAGGTCATGTTTATTTTAATCTGTTCAGATATTTAATATTTTTAAGAGGATAATTTAGTCTGTTTATATGCAAGGTTATTATTGATTAGTTATTTGAATAATAACAAATAATGAGGCTTTTTTAATCATATTGTTGATTGCTTTGCTGTTCCTTTATAAATTATTCATTCCTTTATTTTCCTCATAGTTTTTCATTGAATTTTGGTAGAATTCTGTAGTGGTATCATTTGAGTGCTTTTTCTTCCTACTTTGCATGATTGCTTTACCATTGAGTTTTATTTTCATGTGTTTTCATGATGGTAAATGTTATCTTTTCACTTTCAGGTTTAGAACTCTCTTCAGCACTTTCTATAGGACAAATTCCCTTAGCATTTGTTTGACTAGGAATGACTTTCTCCTTCTTTTATGAAGGATCATTTTGCTGAATGTAGTATTCTTGAGTGACAGTTTTATTTTTCTTTCAGCACTTTTAACATATTATCTTATTCTCTTCTGGCCTGTAACATTTCTGCTGAGAAGTCGACTGTTATTCTGATGAAACTTCCTTTTTAGGTGACTAAAGGCTTTTCCTTGCTGTTTTTAAATTTTTCTCTTTATCTTTTACTTAAAACAGTCTGATTTTAATGGGTTTTGGGGAAGACCTTTTTGCATTGTGTCTACCTAGGAATCACTGAGCCTCCTGTATTGGAATATCCTAAAACTGTGACTAGATTTGAGGAGTTTTCATCTATTGTTTCACTAAATACATTTTCTAATTATTTCTTTCTTCCTTCATTATGGGGTATATCAATAATTTGTAAATTTTGTTGCTTTATGTTGTCTCAAATGTCACAAATGCTTTACACATTCTTTTTTTTCTTCTTCTTGAGATGAAGTCTCACTTTGTTGTCAGGCTGAAGTGCAGTGGTGTGATCTTGGCTCACTTCAACCTCCGCCTCCTGGGTTCAAGTGATTCTCCTGCCTCTGCCTCCCAAGTAGCTGGGACTACAGGCACATGCCACCATGTCCAGCTAATTTTTGTATTTTTAGTAGAGATGGGTTTCACCATGTTGGCCAGAATGGTCTCCATCTCTTGACCTCATTATCCACCTGCCTTGTCCTCCTAAAAAGCTGGTATTACAGGCATGAGTCACTGCACTCGACCAACACATTCTTTTGTATTCTTTTTTTCTGTCTGGATTATTCCAAAAGGTCTGTCATCAAGTTCTGAGATTCTTTCTTATACTTGATCTAGTCAGTTGTTGAAGCTTTCAAATGTGTTTTGTATTTCCTTCAATGAATTCATCATGTCCAAGATTTCT